TTGCAAATTAATCACTGAATCTCTTTATGGTGTTTGCAGTTTAGATTCTTCCAAATTTTATAAAGGGGGCCGCTAGACTCTACAGAGTTTTAATTTTATGCACAGATGACGCACCTCCTTTCTTCTCTTAGAAATCAATTTTGCTAATTGAAATAAGGGATATCATATCGCAATGACTCTCGCAGCTTGCCAGAATAAACGAAATTAATGACAACTTAGTAAATGGCAGTTTTTTGCCCATCCCTTTCACAGCATAAACTTGTGTTTTGGTGTCTAACTTCTAAATGACTTCAAATGGCACAAATGTATGTCGGTCATGGGAAAATACGTAGTTCTTCTTGCATAAGCTGCCATTAAATAACAATTTGCATAATGACATGGTGTAAGTCTACGAACATGTTCCACCCACAGGAAGGACCAAGGGTTTGAAGCAAGTGTGCACAGGATTTAGAACTGCACTCTGGGAAGAATCGCATGCCATATACTATTATTCAACAGTCAAAGTGAAACCACAAATAAAGCTATTTTTCCTTTACATCACAGTCGTAATTCGTCTTAGAAAATTTGTACAATTTGTTTTGACTCCTCACCAGACGTAATATTTCAGGTATGGGCGGCGATATGACTGGGCGCCACGGAACCATAGCGTCACCGCTATATGACAATCCCATGAAGTGGTCGTTCAGCGATTTCACTAAACCGACCAGTGGCGATAACTTCATAAACTTTTTTTACCAGACCGTTATTTGGTGGCACATCACGGTCAACGAAGGTGAACGTGTAAGGGCCGAGTTTCGAGAATTTTTCATCACCGGAACCATGTTCACCGATAGGATCGGAGGCTGCCAAGGAGGACTTGCTGTCGAAGTACGTTGCACTCATAACTGATTTTCAGAGGAAGCCTACTTGAGCACACTGTGGGTTTGGAAAAGTCATTATTTGTTGAGTGATATTTGTTTTATGCTTTACAGTGCTTCATATCCTAGTCTTAAATGGGTTGAACAACCTGCCAAGTTTCTTATTTATAATTCTGAAGCAATTTTCCGTTGTTTCGCATGCGGCATAAAATTTCATTGATTTTCTCATGTGCAGCTGTTTCTCGGTAATCTGTCTCCCTCATGAAAGTCTGTCCACTTTCTGGTGCAGTTGTTTTAAACATGGAGTTTAAGAGGTTAATTATGCGAAGAATTTGAACCACTGAAATACTATGTATCAACCCGTTTCTTACGTATGGGCGAGAACGTTGAACCGTAGGCAATTCG